GCAGCTGAAATAAGGCTGAAAAAAAGACTAAGTCCCATCGCCGAATGGGACTTAGTCTCTGCAGCTGAAATAAGGCTGAAAAAAACGGCTGAAAAAAAGACTAAGTCCCATCGCCGAATGGGACTTAGTCTCTGCAGCTGAAATAAGGCTGGAAAAAACGGCTGAAAAAAAGACTAAGTCCCATCGCCGAATGGGACTTAGTCTCTGCAGCTGAAATAAGGCTGAAAAAAACGGCTGAAAAAAAGACTAAGTCCCATCGCCGAATGGGACCTAGTCTCTGCAGCTGAAATAAGGCTGAAAAACGTTGAAAAGACTAAGTCCCATCACAATGGGACTACTGCAGCTGAAATAAGGCTGAAAAACTGTTGAAAAGACTAAGTCCTATCGCCGAATGGGACTTAGTCTCTGCAGCTGAAATAATTTCCCATTTACTGAACCAAGTGGGAAATAGCAAGGCAGGCACAAAGGGTTTGCACCAGGTCTGGGGACACAGGGGACACCGTCTTAAAGGGGCCGTGTCCCCAACAAGTCTGGGGACACGGCCTTAAAGGGGCAGTGTCCCACCTTCCTGATGTCCCAAAAAAGGTGTTTAAAGGGCCAGCACCAGTCACATAAAGAGTCCATAAGCCCCAATATGCCCACCGACAGTCTTAAAGGGCCATACACACCAAATGTGCATACATTTTCACAATCTCCCAGGGGCCATAGTCATGCGGGAGGAGGCTGGCAAAGAGGCTTCTCCACAACCCAGGGAAACAGGGCAATTTGCCATTTAAAGGGCCCGTTACAAATAGCAGTTTGTAACAAGGTGTCAATCCATATCTGCCAAGTGACCCTATGTAGGGGGAGCAGTCTCTATTCTGCTCTGTGTCCGTGTGCATCAGGGGCTCTGAGGACAGGTGTCAATCCATATGTCAAGGTGTCAATATGTCATATGTCAGGTGTCAATCTATATTGATTGTGATTTAGGAATGTTAGGTGATTTCTGCCCTTTATGGATTAAAACCAGACTCTGTATCAACTGTGTAATTTTCCATGGGAGTTTTGCCATGGATCCCCCTCCGGCATGCCACAGTCCAGGTGTTAGTCCCCTTGAAACAACTTTTCCATCCCTATTGTGGCCAGAAAGAGTCCCTGTGTGTTTTAAAATTCGCCTCCCCATTGAAGTCAATGGCGTTTCGGGCGGTTCGCCGGTTCGCGAACATTTGCGGAAGTTCGCGTTCGCCGTTCGCGAACCGAAAATTTCGGGTTCGCGACATCACTAGTAGTAATGTTTTTACAAAAATCTGCAAATAATACACAATCATAGTGTATATGGTACTTAAAACCAGAAATGAATGAAGGTATGTAAATTAACAACTCTCAAGTGTAGAGCCAAATAGTCAACTGGCTCTAGTGTGAAGAGCCTCGGGATCTTTCAGGGGAGATCCACTGCCCTCTTTTATCTTCTTCTGGTCTCCTCCACATCCAATTTGGTGTATAGGAATGGACAGGATGACTCCAATGGTGAAGGCAAATAAATTTATTTAATAAAATAAGAATCCAAAATAAAAAGATCAATTGATCAAAATAATCAGTAAAAAGTTATAAATAAAGTCCAAAATGCGTTTCGCCATTGATTGGCTTCCTCAGTTGGTGTATCGTTTATGCGTCGTCCTTCTCTTATACAGCCCTGATTGCAAGATTGCCGGCATCTGTGAACCCGGAAGTCGGTTCTGTGGAATGCATGCAGACTCAGTTGGAACACACGTTTGTGCGTCAGTCATGTGATTTGGCTGTAGTTTCCTTTCCCTCGTGGAACACATCGTATGCGTTCCACGTCCATAGTCCATTTCAATACACTGTACTGGATGGCAAGTCCTTTATCCAATCAGCTCATTTACCTCTCATAAAAATAGAGGAAATACAAATAATCAAGAAGACATCCTCAGATGAGAGACTTACTACCAGAGGCGGCTCTCTAATTAGGCGGTTTAGGCGACTGCCTAAGGCCTCGCGCTGGCTGGGGCCTCGCGGCTGCCTAAACTGCCTGTGGGCAGTCTGTGTCAGGCCCTCGGTCAGTGACCGAGGACCTGACACCAGGAGGGGACCCGGCGGTTTGCCCGGTATGCCGCTGGGTGCGAGGCAGCTCCTGGCTGCCCAGCCACCATCGCAGACACCGGTCTGCAGCTCCGCAGTGTGCAGAGCTGCAGACCACGTGTCTCGCGAAAACCGGCCAATCAGAGCGTTACCAGACCGGAAGAAGTGGCCACCGGACCATCAGGGAGCCCACTGGACCACCAGGGAAGAGAAGGTAGGCTCTCTCACACTCCTCACCACCACCCTCAGCCTCCCCCCCACCAGCCTCACCACCCTCAGCCTTCCCACCCCCCCAGCCTCACCACCTCAGCCTTCCCACCCCTGGCAGCCCCTGCCCCCACCACCCTCAGCATCACCCCTCCTCACCATCAACCTCCCTCCTCGCCTCAGCATCAGCCCTCCTTCTCCTCAGCCCCTCTCCTTCTCATCACCCCCTCCTTCTTACATCTCCCTCCTCCTTCTCATCACCCCCCTCTCCCTCTCACATCACCCCACCTCTCCCTCTCACATCCCACCCCCCCTCTCCCTCACATCACCCACCTGTCCCTCTCATCACCCCCCTCTCCCTCTCCATCACCCCTTCTCACATCACCCCCCCCTCCTTCTCACATCACCCCCCCTCTCCTTCTCATTACCCCCTCCTCCTTCTCATTACCCCCATCACTCGCTCTCCATCACCCCCCCTCCTCCTCACATCACCTCCCTCTCCCTCTCATCACCCACCTCTTCCTCTCCATCACCCCCCTCTCCCTCTCACATCACCCACCTCTCCCTCTCACATCACCCCCTCTCCCTCTCACATCACCCCCTCTCCTTCTCACATCACCCCACTCTCCTTCTCACATTACCCCTTCTCCTTCTCATTATCCCCCCTCTCCCTCTCACATTGCCCCTACCCCCCTCTCACATTACATTACAGCATAGGGATAGCTCCGCTGGCCACTAATTAGATGGCAGCTAGAGGTGATTCCTGGGGCAGTACTGCCTAGTGTGCACCATTGCCATTCGGTGTCTCCACCCTCTGCATGAAGACACTGAACTTTCCTCATAGAGATGCATTGATTCAATTCATCTCTATGAGGAGACGCTGATTGGCCAGGTAAATGTTTGACTCGGCCAATCTTATGGGGAAGCATTGTAATTGGCTCAAACCACCACCTCTGTTGATGTCAGCAGACAGAGTCAGTGCAGAGGCAGACAGGGGCTGCAGACTTGAATACAAGTAAGATTTTACTATAATTAGGAAGGCAAGAGGAAAACATGGGGGCTAGATGGTGATTTTAACATAATAGGGTCAGAAATACATGATTGTGTTCCTGACCCTATGGTGCAAGAGTATGTGAAGAGTAGTTAGGGTTGACACATTTCTAGGAAAAAAATACCAGCCTTAATCATTTGCATAATTAATTAGGTATGCGTGACATCACATGACCGGTGTATAGTCGCCATATGGGCAGTCGGACTCCAGGACAACCCTCCCACATACCTAACCCAATAACTCACTGACACAAAGGTATATGGGAAAATTTGTCCACAGCTTTATTTAAACAATCTTGAATAATAATAATTTATTAAGCAATAATAATTTTAACAATAAACATGGGTCATTGCCCCCATACTCCGCCCTCGTAACCGAATCCTTCTGTTAATATAACAGGCAATGACCCCCATATAAATAACATATATATACATATACATATAACATACGTATCAACATATTCCAACATACCAACTTAAAGTGCCAAACATAAATTAACCATGGCAGGGGTATACCCGGATACCCCTGCCCCACCAGATTCTGAGCCACCGACAGGACTCGGAACCTACCAACCACCAATGACCACAGTTTTACGTCTCCATGACGTTCATCCTAGGGAGCCTACTTCTTCTCCTTCAGCTCCCTATCCCGCCGCTGTGAAAAAACGGGATAACCCAAGTCCGAACCAAATTCAGGGAGGGTGGGCGGGACAAACTCAGCAAGGTAGTAATTAAAAGTGAAGGCTTTAAAATGGCTGCCTATTTAAATAGCCAAGCCTACTTACCCATAACTCCATACTTCCTTCCCTCCTCCTATGCCCGCCTCCTAACCCCTGTCAAGGCCCTTTTTCGCTTAGCTGTGCTTTGGCTACATGGGGCTACATGACCGTGTATATAGTCGCCATATGGGCAGTTGACTCAGGGACAAATTCCTCCACATACCTAAACTCCAATAACTCACTGGACACAGTATATGGGAAAAATTTTGGTCCACAGTTTTATTTAAATGATCTTGAATAATAATAATTTATTAAGCAATAATAATTTTAATAATAAACATGGGTCATTACCTATACTCTCATAAATCAATCTCTTCTGTTAATATAACAGGCAATGACCCCATATATAAAATAAATATATATACATATACATATAACATAATGTGACAACATATTCCAACATACCAACTTAAAGTGCCAAACATAATTAACTATGGCAGGGGTATACCGGATACCCCTGCCCCACTCAGATTCTGAGCTACCGCATAGGACTCGAACATACCAACCACCACGATCACAGTTTTACGTCTCCATGACGTTCATCCTAGGGAGCCTATTTCTTCTCCTTCAGCTCCCTATCCTGCCACAAGCTCAGACCTTGACTCCTTAAGCTGTCTGAGCTCCGCCACCCCGAAGAAAAAGAGCCTTAGTTATGCCATCCTGCCAGCCCAGGGTCAACAGATCCCAACCAACTGCCGAGAGATGGACTCCATCCGAGCGGTAGTACCCTGGCAAACCACCTTCCAACTCGCTGTGTCGAACTACCACGCCCCCTAGCTTCCGCACGAAGCTTGCCATCAAGCTATTCACTTTCTTCCTACATCTGTCAATAGCCTCCGGGTCCCTAGCATGCCGCCACCGCTTCCTAAGGATAATCTCCGACCAGACCAACATCACCCCCGGAAGTAGGTCCACTTCACCAGCCGCCGCTGCGGAGTGAGGCCCAAGTCGTTGCCCCCCGCATGGAGCACCAGCAGGTCCGGCCGTTGCCCGCCTGCTACCATCCGGAACACCCGTCCGCAGACCTCCCCCCAACAAAAACCCCTGTACCCGAACCATTGTACTGCCAACTGGTCCCGATGAAAGCCCAGCTGGTGGCCGTGAGCTCGAGCTGCAGCCCTCCTTTCGGCCCAGAAGACAAATGAATGGCCCACGATCCATGCGACACGGCCTGGGGGAGAGAAGGAAAACAGATCATAACAGCCCCTTATGCACCCAGCCCCCGGGGATACCCCCAAAGGCCCTTCACCATACTACTCCAATAAACACGAGCGCACATATGAACGGAACCGTACCGACTCCCATCTCCCAATCCGTTTCACTATGTCATCCCCCAGACCCAACCGAGCTGCCTCCGTAGCCGCCCCAATACGAAAGGAGTGTGTACCAAAAGTATCCACCCTCAGTCCTAGCTTTCCCAGTCCAGACCAAAAAACCTTGGTGAACTGGAACCGGGAGAGGGAAGACCCGTCCGCGTGTACCAGCAGCGATCCTCCAACCCCCGGCCTCCGTGCCATGTACCCCGCCACCGCAGCCACTGGGCACAAAGCGGAGCCCGGCAGGGCCCGCAGCGTCACATCTCGGCCCTTGCCTAACATGTCCGTCTTGGATCTTGCCAGGTGTACAACCACCTTCCCTTCCAGCACTCGGGCCCCCGACACCTGTACCCCTCCTGCCGCAGTCCTCGTGGCACTGACCAACTCCCCTACCCGAAAGGCTCCAAAGAAGGCCAACAGAAACGCCGCCTGAAACAATGATGCTTCGAACCTGTCGAAACATATAGTAGGCAATAAACCGACCAGGTCACTCAACACTCGCACCGATACTGGGCGCCAAGTGTCAGGCCGCCTGCGGCCCCGCCGGTACCCCTTCAGTGCCTGCCTTATGACAAAGGCCTTAGTAAGGTCCTCTTCCCCATGTAGCTTGAACCAGAAAGCCATCGCCGCCATGGACCTGTCAACCACCGCCGAGGATACCCCTTTCGCCAGAAATTGACAGGTGTACCAGAGGAACGCATCCTTGAGCGATTCCCCCGCCGGCAGGCGGTCCAACCCTTCCCATGACCTTTCCCAGGAGTCCCAGACCTTACTGTAAGCGGCCCATGTGGCCGGCGCCAGCGAAGCTTTCACCAGTCCCCCAAGCAGGTCGCCCCGAGCCGCCAAATCTCGTCTGGGCAAGCCTGCCCCACTTCTTGGGCTTCCGGCGCCACCGTCCGGAATCGTGACCACTGAAAACGAGACAGAGCATCAGCTACATCATTCATGAACCCAGGCACATGGCGTGCACGAAAAACAACATTTAGCGACATGCACAACAGAACAAAATGACGTAGCAACCTAACCACGGGTTTCAATGCCGCTGATTGGTTATTCACAGCGTGCACCACGGCCATATTGTCCGAGAAAAAGACCACCTTCCGGTCCCGCAGCCTATCCCCCCACAGGGCCAACGCAACGACCAGTGGGAACAGCTCCAAGAAAGCCAAGTTCCGCATGAGGGGGCTCAGTCGCCACTCCCTCGGCCATCGCTCCGCACACCAACGTCCCTCAAAATAAGCCCCGAAGCCCACGCTACCAGACGCGTCAGTGAACAGCTCCAGTTCCGCAGCCGACACGCCCTCCTGTCTAAAAATCACCGTCCCATTGAACTCCCGCAAAAAGGTCTCCCATACGGCCAAGTCGGCCCTCATGGCCGACGACACCCGAATGAAGTGACGCGGGGATCGCACCCCCGCCGTCGCTTCCGACAGGCTCCGGCTGAACACCCTACCCATTGGGATCACCCGGCATGCAAAATTCAGCATCCCGATCAACGACTGCAGCTGCCGCAATGTAACCTTACGGGCTTCAGCCGCCGTTGTCACCTCCTCCCTCAGCCGCCGCAACTTCTCCAGCGGCAGCCGACACTCCCCTTGCAACATATCTATCTCCAGCCCCAGAAAACTAAGGCACGGAGCCGGCCCTTCTGTCTTGTCCGCCGCCAGCGGGACCCCGAAATGGCCAGCCACCCACTCGACCGTTCTCAGCAAGTGTAGGCAGGCGGGGGAGCCCGCCGGTTCTACGCAGAGAAAATCGTCCAGGTAGTGTACCACAGCCCCACTCCCCGCCTCAACCTTGACCACCCATTCAAGAAATGTACTAAACTTCTCAAAGTAGGCGCAGGAGATAGCACAACCCATTGGAAGGCACAAATCCACAAAGTACTCCCCGTCGAAGACACACCCCAGCAAGTGATGACACGCTGGGTGGACCGGAAGCAGCCGAAACGCTGCTTCAATATCCACCTTAGCCAACAGTGCCCCGCGCCCGGCCCTCCTTACCAGCTCGACCGCCCTGTCGAATGATGCGTATGAGACCGAGCACAAGTCCTTGTCAATATCATCATTCACCGACTCTCCTTCCGGATAGGAGAGGTGGTGAATGAGCCTGAATTTGCCCGGTTCCTTCTTGGGAACCACCCCGAGTGGGGAAACCCGCAGACCCTCCAATGGAGGAGCCGGGAACAGTCCTGCCATCCTCCCCAATTTGACTTCCTTGCCCAGCTTTTCCCGCACCACACCCGGGAACTCAGCCACCGATTTAAGGTTGCGCCGAACCCCAGTCCCCCCCCGGTTCCGGAAAGGGATAAAGAACCCCTGACCAAACCCCACCCGGAGCGCCACGGCATCTGCCTTATTA